TTTGAAACGCATGTTTCCCAGACATCTGGTGTCTCTGAGGGGTGATTTACAGTGGCCTGCAAGGTCACCTGAATTGAGCATTTGTGATTTCTTTCTTTGGGGACATCTAAAAGAGTAGGTGTTCAGAAGTCGCCCTCACACCCTACCATAACTGAGGGGACGGATTATTACAGCAGAGGTTATGGCCATATCTTGCCATATGTGTGAACATGCTGTAGGAAACTTCCAAGAACAACTCCAACAGTGTGTTGCAGCTAACAGAAACCATCTTCCTTATATTCTTTTCAAAATATAATTATTTTAAATGGTATTTTATGCTAATTTTGAGGAAAATAATCTTTCTTCTTTATGTACCTCCATTACTGTAAAATGGGGTAACTCTGACCACTTTTTTTAAATGTCATTTTTTACTAGATAAGCTAAACTTAAATTGAAACATGCAAAACACAGGTCTATACTCTAGCTTCAATCACCATAAATTGCTTGCTCCTGCCTCTCATAGTTTTGATGTAATTTCAAAAAAAAGTGATGGTCTTTGTTACCCCAGCTCTTGGGGTTTCTTTGACTGGGTGGTAAAATCAATTTTATTTTTTGGTAAAATAACTCCAAATAACTCCAGGGTTTGGTGCATTGTAGTAGAACTTTTCTAGTTACATATGCAAATGACAAATTTTAGGAAAGTGTCATAGTTTGCAAATTAGGGGCGCCGCCCCCCTATGGGCGAAATGTGACCACCTAATGGCAGCTGTGATGGGGTAACATTGACCAGCTTGGAAATTAAGTTAAAATTACCATATATAAGACTCTGTAGAGTCTGAAGCATGAAGAAAAAAACAATAATAGGTGTATCAAACATAAAATATGTTATATAGGTGCCTATGGTAATTTCAACTTAATTTCCAAGTCAGTCAATGTTACCTCATCATGGCTGCCATTAGGTGGTCAAAGTTCCCCCATTGGGGGCAGCACCCCCCATTTGCAAACTATGACACTCTCCTAAAATTTGTCATTTGTATATGTAACTAGAAGAGTTCTACTACAATGCATCAAAACCTGGAGTTATTTTACCAAAAATAGGAAAAGTGGAGGGGGTGCTCCAACAGGCTTTAAATAACAGCTCTTTTTCGTTGGTCACATTTTAAATTTTTTAACCTATTAGATATGCAAACTTTTTAAATCTTTCTATTGTGTTATGTAGCCTCAGTATTAGGCCGTTAATGACCATTGACAAAATTTTTCTATGTCAAATAGTTCTTGAGTTTTTGGGGTTTTTGTTAAAAAACGAAAAGTAGTCAAAGTTACCCCGGGAGTCAAAGTAACCCCATTTATGGTACTCTTTTATTTTGCCTCAAAACTGCTCAATTGGTTCTGCCCCGCCCCCACCCTGTATAAGCTAGCTAACACATTTAAATTGTATATTGCAATCAATATATGTTGTAACAAATAGTCAAATAGTTAAAAGACTACTTATAGCCTTATAAGAATTTAGCTAAGCTGCTAGCTATGTACAATGTATTGCAACTCTTTATGCCTCTGTACCAAAAACATTCAATTTATTTGAACCTAATACACACTAAAGGCAACAAGTTTATAGGTATACCAATTTGTCATTCATAGTACATTTATACTAAACCATGAATAACAATGCCTAAAAATAAATTAAAGGATGCCAATCAATATATTTAAATATATAAAAAAAAATGAAAAAAAAATCATTATTTTTTTGAAAAATCAAGTGATTTAATCACATGATTTATTCGTTTTGATTTAATCAGTGCCAACTCTGCTTTCTACATAAACAGTTTATCACTATTTGGTAGAGCAAGGTCAACTATCAACTTTGACATGTTTATTGATGTTCTCACTGGGTGACATGAACTTTCGCTCTGAGGATCTTAACATTTTCCCATCAGACCTAGTGTTTTGCGGTAATCTGGCACGCAATAGTATGATGTCACTATTTCAACCATCTACGCATGCGTGGAACTAAGACAAAGCTTAATATAAAGGAAAACGAGAAGTATGGGAATTACCCACGATGTCGGAATATGGTGCGTTTACCCTAACTTAAGAAATTGGGAATAGACATAGGAATGGGAGAATCTGGCCAGATTTATGGGCATTTTTGCAGGGCTGGAAAAGACTTTTTTCTATATTGCAGCTCTAATATCATATTCTCACAGCCCTTATGTCATGTATTTTTGTTTGATTTAAAAAAATTGTGGTTTGTACTCTGCAAACTGCAAACATTTTGTTTCATAAAATTTTCAACTTTCGCAATCCACAATACTTTGACAATCCTGACAAAATATCCTGCACAATGTAATAAAAAGTCAATCTAAAATGCTTCCTTGAAGATTGCATGGTTGCAGTCACGCCAGAGGGGTCAGACTGCATTTTCACTTGATCAGTCACCACTTAAGTGACAACAAATGTTAGTATTGACTGTTTTTAGGGTACTATTAGAGATTAGGGGTAACAATGTGCACAGGAGTTGGTAAAAAGTTTGCTGCTGCTGGCTCGTAAAAAATGTTTATTGTTTAATGGCCAAGGTATTGAATTCACGGCTCAAAGAAATTAAATCACGGCTTGAAGAAATAGAATCACAACTGGCAAATCCATAAAACCAAGGCTCAAAAATTTCAGTTGCGGCTTTCCAAGTAGATAACTTCCATGTCTGCATTTTTATCCAATTCACAGGTTTCTTCCAACCCAGGATGGTATTGATACTAAAGGTTAACAAAAACATTTCTCATGCCACTGCCATCAGTTCCAGAATAAATATTTGTATCCAATTAAGAATTAAGAAGCCCCACTTTCAATATAAAATGATATTTTTATCTACTCAACAGTTGACTTTAGCCTGTGCCTGTAGAGACAATAGATACCGTCAACCGGGGCTACTCGGGACAGGCGGGGCTACTCGGGACAGGCCTATGACACGGCGTAAAACGGTTGTAGTAGCGAAACTAATTGGAATACCGCAAAACTAAAAATAGTGGCGTAAATGTAACTATTTTTCCTATCTATCTAGTATAAAGGAAGTCGAAAAATACTACATTTACTTGCTTTGAAAAATTCCTGAAAAAAATGGTGAAAAACTATGTTTTGTAAAGTTACAACTGCTAAGGTATGTAGCAAAAAAAATATTCGCCGTATTAAAAAATTTTACTTACATAAAAGTTGCACCCAGGTGNGAAGTTTTATTCCCGTTGTCCCGAGTAGCCCCAACCGACGGGGCTACTCGGGACAATCTCTATTTTGCGTCTGGCACCTTACGAATAGCATATGGAATTTTTTTGACAACGCCATTCGATAGCCCTGCCAATCAGCTATAAAATGAGACTAAACTTGTTTATAAAATGTTTCATCGTAAGAAGTTATTAACTGTTATTTAAAAACGAATCGTTCAAATCTGTCCCGAGTAGCTCCGGTTGACGGTACCTATGATCCAAATGGGAAAATTTGGCCACAACAGCGCAAGAATCAGACCAAAAAGGCCCATGCTTGCAGACAGACAATATTAACTATTCCTATTGCCCTTGCCCAATTTCTTTTCTTAAAGTAATAAAAACATTCATCTTTGCCTGCAGCTTTAATGATTCACCTGTGGAACCACCGCTCCTTGGTGTTAGATAGGACAGGCCTGATTAAATAGGAGAAAAAAAAATATAGAAAGGAAGAGAGACGTTTCCTATCGTCTCATATATATTTAAAGTTGGGTGAATCGGAGTGATTACTCCACCAATTTTTACGTTACGTTCAGGTTCAGGTTCAAGATACCGGTATTTATTATTTAGCGTTTTGTCAGGTGGTTTACCGAGTGGCATTTGATTTGGCACGTGAATAAGGTTCTCTTTTTGGACAGGTTCGGCAAAATATAGTACAGAGAGAGGGTGTAATGAAACACTGATACATTTCATATTAAATTGAGAAATTTCAAGTTCACATCCTACGTTAACAAACATCTCTAGTAGGTAAATGAAAAAGGCGAGCTGAACATAATCAAAGTCCAAAATCTAACAGTTAAATCATCATCATGTAAACTCATCTAATTTTACCGAGGAAAAGCGTGTGATCCATTGCAGTTCCGATGAGCCGTACGACTGTTGTAAACGACCGTAAACTTGCGCACATTTACGGCTGTACGTTCCACGACCGTACCACGGCTGTCACCGCGCGTTTCAGCCATATTTCAGGTGGCCGTACTGCAGCTGTATCGCGTGTCTCTCTTCACAGTTGCTCTTTCTTCATAGCTGTCGTATCTCGTTGATATAGATGCCACACGGCCGGTCTGACTGTAGAGTTGATGATGACCGTACTTTGGAATAGAAGTGCTCGTCTTCATAGCCGATGGAAATACTCCAACTCCGTTGTCGTACTGCCGTCAAGGTGACTGTGACCGTACCACTTCTTCTGATGAATATAGTGACCGTATAATATATTGAAGTCGTAGCCGTTCATTGTATATGTTTGACGCGCTCACGGGAATCGTAACTGCCTCGGTGAGTCCAAGTTTCTCGCAAGTCGCGACCGTCAATGTTCGAAAACGGTAACACCGCGGCCTCACGGCCGCAGCCGTTTGTACGTCCGCTAGCTGCAGACCGTACGTGCGTGACGGTCTCCGCCGTAGAACCAACAACAACCCTTGGCGCGAAATCTGAGGTCCTTATATACGCTAGAGTCGCGCACACTCAAACCTAGCCCTCGAACTGATGCACATTCCTTCGAATGGAATTTCCCTCGCAACGCTGAGCGCCAACGTTTCAATGTAAACAACCTTTCCCACGGTCTCGACACAACGGCGCCGCATTCTTAGCATTCTTAACATCTATGCATAATACATGTTCAATATTACCTATGTTCAATATTACCTACTTTATTCACGCCATTTCATATTGCAGTCTGTTGAATAAATTCATTTAATATAAATTAAAAGTTTAGTTTTTTGCTTCAAGTTAAATTTTGGGAATTAAGATTTATACTTTCATATTTTTCAGGGAAGAAAAACCAAAGAAGAAATTGGAAGCTAGGCAACAACAAGAGCATGAAATGAATGGCACTTCTGAAACAGTTGACAAAAGTCCTGAAAAAACTTCTTCCTCTGTCTCCATTCCAGGTTCATCAACAGATACTCTGAACAAAGTAAGTTTCTTAATAGAATTCTACTTCTGAGTTTTGCTGCCTGACTTTGAATTTTGAATAAAAAATGTTTTGCAACAAGATCCATACTATGGGTGGGGTTGGAATCCTATGAAATGGGAATGTGTGAAATTGTTAATACTATTAAAAAAGAGTATTCTCTTGACTTCAATTGAACTAGTTTTATGGAACAAATTCTGCCTAACTATACCAATAAGTAAATTGGTGGTGCATATGTTTAAAACTCTTCCACTTCACATCTGATCCCTCTTCAAATAGACCTAGGAGAATGGGGGGGGTGTGTGTTTGCAGATACTTCTGTCTAAAATAGCCCCCAAAGAAAAGTTGAGAGGATTCAAATCGGGGCTTCTTGAAGGCCATTCATTTTTGCTAATGAAATCAGGGATGTGAGTTTGAATCCAGTTTTAGGTCATACTTGAACCATGTGATGGGGCAGAGTCTTGTTGAAAACTCCATGGTGAGCTGTTAAAGTGTTTGCAGCCACAAGGTAAAAACTCAGTTTCAAAAAATTCTGAAATGTGTTGCTGACTTCAATTTCACTGCTGAGGGGACAAAAACAAGTGGAGGCCTCCAAGTGGCTGTTACCACGGCCCAAACCTTCAGAGACAAGGGACTTTGAGGTCTCATTAGGTACTGTTCTGATTGCCACAATCCATCCAACTCCAAACTCTGTAATTTTTATGCTTTGTTCAATGTCAAATTTCTTCACATCTTGGAACATCAAATTAGTCAGCATGCCATCTTTAATGAGATTCAGAACGTTCTGTCATCTTTCAAGTCTCAATTGCGGCTGTCATTGTAAATAAGGGTGGTCATATTGAATAAATATGTTCAAGAATTGTCTAGGTAGGTAGTTTTTGGCTATTAGCTCTTCTAATACAAAATTAATTAGTCTGTTTGTATAATTGAGAAATGAAAAAAACATGCATTAAATATGGCAGACCCTACATATTTAAAGTTAGATCTTTGATGTGAAAATGTCTCCTTTCCTCTCAAAATACATAAAATCTTAGACATGCAGAATTTTGTGCAAATGCTAGTCTAATGTTCCTTTCTACTCAGAAGCCATGGGATTCTGTACTGGATGTAACACAGTGCATAAAAAATCTTCAACTCCCCACCCCTCCTCAGTTCCAGTTCTGGAAAACCCAACCAGTGCCTTCTATTAGTAAGTGTTGAAATTGCTTGCTTCTTCTTGTGACTGCATCTAATGTTGTGCTGTGTAGTGAAGCAAACTAGCTACTTGCTGCTAGTTGTGACTTCATCTAATTTTGTGCCAGTTCATCTTCATCATCTTTGTGCTGTGAAGTGCCAGTTTAGTGACGTCATCTTCATTCTACAGTAATGTTGAAATGTGATGATTAGTTATAGGACTGGGCAGTTACCTGCGCCTTCCTCATTTGGCTGTATGCACTCACGCTGAACAGTGCAATGTTCCAATGTCTGACAATGACTTCAAGGTTTTAGCTTCCAGTTCTGGTGCTTCTGGTCTGCATATTTTTCTAGCTCTGGTGCTTCCACCAGAAATTGTGAATAGATAGGTTTTTGCTTTATTACTGTCCTTTGTTCATAAATTTAGGTTTTAACTTCTGAATTATTTTCTTTTGAATTTCGACTGTATTAACTTCTGATTGTATTTGTGTTCAATTTTTTTTTTGAACTGACAATGGAGCTGGACTCAGAAATGTTTTCAATAGAGATATGGTGAATTTTTGTGGAGTTTTCTTTGCTTTTCAATTTTTAATGTTGATCAATAGTGTAGCAATTTTAGATCATTTAATCTCTGCTGGCATTTACTAAAATGTGTCTTCTTCCAAGATTTTCGCTGTCAATTATTTTAAGAGATATTTCATCAATCCTTGATTTGACAATGCCCTAACAGGAACACCTTATGTCAATACTGATGATAAAGCTTTAATCTATGATGTCCTGTATATTGCAGATGAGCGTATACAAGAAGGAGTTAATGAACCTATTGAGAGTGACAAAGACCAGAGTGAGATCAGAGCTGAACCCTACAACTTACCATCTGGCTTCCATTGGCAGACCTTAGATCTACAGGATAAAGATATGGTAAACCTCAACATTACCTATTCTACTTATATAAATTGATAAATTATTTCCCTGGGAATTTGATAAGGTAGAGTTGCACAGCTACTTGTGGTTATCAAATCAAATGCTTGTAGACAAATTTCCATGTTTGGCTGGAGTTGGTTTGGTCTAGCACCAAGAGAAAAAATGTATATTAAGCTATCGTTAGAAAGTCAAATGAATCCATGTGATGAAGCTTTTAGCATTAAAATTACTTGCTAGCCAAAATAACAAATAATATCAGCTGGTATTTACAGTAGCTATTGAGTCTCCATTATGAGTCTTGCCTTTTGAAATATTAGTATCATTAGAAGGTTAGTTTGATATTCCATCATGTTCCTATATGAATATCCTAAAATTAGATGGTAATAATAAACAATATCATGACTTTGCTTGTTGCTAGCTACATTTTCTCTAATTAGCATTGGAAATGTTGTATTTTGCTTCAAGTGATGTGAAGGCTTCTTTTCAGCTGCAAGACTTGTACGTCCTGCTCAACGAGAACTATGTCGAGGATGATGATAACATGTTCAGGTATGATAACATGTTCAGGTATGATAACATGTTCAGGTATGATGACATGTTCAGGTATGATAACATGTTCAGGTATGATGACATGTTCAGGTATGATGACATGTTCAGGTGTGATAACATGTTCAGGTGTGATAACATGTTCAGGTGTGATTACATGTTCAGGTATGATTACATGTTCAGGTATGATGACATGTTCAGGTGTGATAACATGTTCAGGTATTATATGTTCAGGTATGGTCATAGTACTCACAGCTTCTTGGTTGTACTTGCTCAAATGGTGCACACTCCAGCACAGGATGACGATAAAATATTCAGGCATGGTTGAAGTCCCATGCCTGAACATGAATGAATTGCCATGTTCATTTGAATTACACGCCTAAAATAATAATTCCCACTTGCAAAACGGCATGCTCTTTTAACAATGGAGGCACCTCATGGAAATAGACTGCAAATGTTCATAGTGAAAATGACACAAGTTGATACCTATCATTTTCACTAAGGTTTCAGGCAGATTTGACTATAGTTCTGTTTGTTGTCCGCATTGGCAAAACACAATGAAAATTTTTCACTATTCTTCATTGCAGATTGGCGTATAATATATTTGTGTAATTATATTTCGGGAAGAATATACAATAATATTCAACATATTTATGTTTTGCAGATTTGACTACAGTCCAGAATTCTTGCGGTGGGCGCTGATGCCACCAGGCTGGCGTCAGGCGTGGCATGTGGGCGTCAGGGTCACCAAGACTGGCAAGCTCATGGGCTTCATCAGCGCCGTGCCTGCCACCATCAGGGTCTATCAAAAGTACGCTGCCTCGTGGGGTCTATGTGGGCAATTTGACTAGAAACACCACAGTTGCGGTGCTGACGGGCTCTGTTGCTGGCTGCCTTCGCGTGAAAGCTTCTTTTTTTGTGATTGTTGTCCCGCCCATCCCAGAGTGCAGTAGATGACAAGCTCATGGCTTAAATTTAACAGTTCCTAAATATGTGATTGATGTCCTGCCCAGTGCAGTAGGCGAGAAGATGTTTGCTCATCATTAACAGTTCCTAAGTATGGCATTGCAGTCCCGCCCGGTGCAGTAGGCGATAAGCTGTTTGCTCATCATTAACAACTCCTAAATATGTGATTAATGTCCCGCCCTCCCCAGGGTACAGAAGATGGTCGAAATCAACTTCCTGTGCGTGCATAAGAAGCTGCGGTCCAAGCGCCTGGCGCCTGTGCTAATCAAGGAGATTACCAGGAGAGTCAACCTCGTGGGAATTTTCCAGGTCTGTGATGAAAATTCATGCATCATCATTCTGTAATCATGTGATGAAAATGAATAAAGTATGTGATGAAAATTCATGCCATCATCATTCTGTATTCATGTGATGAAAATGAATACAGTATGTGATGAAAATTCATGCCATCAACATTCTCATCATCTGCCTAGTATGCGTGTAGCACAGAGATTGTGGTACATTTCCTGCCGTTCATTATTTCAATGAAAACACCACAAGTACTCCTTCAAAACTTACAGGGGTTGTACAAAAGGGAAACGCCTGACATTTTGATTTCGTAATTTTTAACATAGAAACAATAAAACGTGTAGAAACAATAGAAACGTGTCATATTTTTATGTTTTATTGTTTATTGTTGCTGCTAATCGATATTTTATCCTTGCACAGATATCTTTATTAAATTTTTCTGTCTATAACCTGACCTCTAACCTATAAATGGCAAACCTCTCTGACTTTCATAGAGGCCAAATTGTTGAAGCCCATGTGGTAGGTGCTAGTGGGACGAGAATTTCCCGAATGCTTGACGTTTCTAGAGGTACTGTCTCTAAAATAATTACTACTGTTTTTGAAAGAAAAGGAAAAACGTCCTCAGCAAAGCACAGGTCTGGCCGAAAGTCGAAGTTGTCTGAGAGAGACCGTCGGTTCCTAAATCGAATTGTGAGGGATAATCGAATAACAACGGCTGTTAAAATTACTGTAGAACTCAATGGACATTTACAGAACCCAGTTACCATAAAGACTGTCCGCCGAGAGCTGCACAGATCTAGATTCTATGGAAGAGCTGCGTTAGAAAACCTCTGGTTTCAAATACAAATGCTTCAAAGTGTTAAGAGTGGTGTAAAAACTTCCAGAATTGTTCGAGCAGTGGAAAAATTTGATTTTCGCTGACGAAGCATCGTTTATCTTATTTTCAACTTCTTGCCGAGTTTACGTTTGGAGCCAAAAGAGTCACTTAATCCCGACTGCCTCCTCCCAACCGTAAAACATGGCGAGGGATTTGTGATGATCTGGGACGCTATTTCTTGTAAATACAGCGAACCAATGATTTCTGTTCATGGAAGAATCAGCAGCCGTGACTATTTAGGAATTTTTGAGGACCAAGTTCATCCAATGGTCCAAGCACTGTTTCCAGAGGGAACGCCATCTCTCAAGATGGTAATGCCTCGATCCATACAGCTGGAATTGTTACAAAATGGCCGAGAAACGTTCTAATGAAGTTGAGCATCTCATTTGGGCGACACATTCACCAGACCTGAAGATTATGGAGTATTGATGGTCGATTTTAGAGATGCAAGTCAGAAGTCGATTCCCACCGCCATCGACTTTCATGGAGCCAGAGGGAGTTTTAACTGAAGAATGGGTTAAAATTTATTTAGAAACAATTCACAATTTGTATGAATCAATACCTCGGAGAATTGAGGCTGTAATTGCTGCAAAAGATGGAAGTACACCATACTAGAATATATTTGGTGGATTTCTCGGGTATTCCCCATATTTAGTCTCACCCCTTGTATGTATTGAGGGTACAGCTACTGCCTGATACTGGCCAAACTCTGAATTGTGCAAATTTTGAATTTATCGACTTTTATCAAAATCTACGAGTCAGTCCATAGATCAATTTAATGCTTCTGCCCAAAATGTGTAACTGATGATGCCAACTTTCAATTCACATAATAAATAATAGTTAATTTTCTTAGCTCAATGTAGTATACTCCGTTTGAAGCAAACTCGGTACTTCTAAATTTGAATAAGTTGCTAATTATTTTGATCTGAGGCAATTTCATGGGGAAAGCGAAGTACTTCGCATTTCCCCATGATTACTTTGCAAGATTACTTGGAAGTACTTTCAAATTAATCTAATCTGACATAAATTACAAATTCTGTATCATTTATCTTCGTAAATTACTGTGTAACGAAAGCTTGTCGACCAGGCGGTGTACACGGCTGGAGTTTTGCTGCCTCAGCCGGTGTCCTCGTGCCGCTACTGGCACCGCAACCTCAACCCTAAGAAGCTGATCGAGGTGAAGTTCTCGCACCTCCGCCATAACATGACGATGCAGCGCACCCTGAAGCTCTACAAGCTCCCTGACCAGCCCCTCACGCCGGGGTATAGGAGAGTTACTAAGAAGGACTTGCCGCGCTGTAAGACATTACTTGAGGTGAGACTAGTGAGGACTACCACGCTCTAATACTTGTTGCGTATTAAAATAAATGCTGAACTGAGGTCCCAATGGCGAAATGCTGTTGCATATTTTCTTTATCAATATTTTATGATATTAGAAATTATTTTTAACTGAATAGAGCTATGTACAAATCGTCTATGGTAATGGAAACTGTTACGGGTTCTAATTGAGTGTATTGCTTCTGTAAAACATTGCACTGCTCCTAGTGACGAAACTATGCTAGTCTCACGTTCATGACCATAAGACGCTGTTGAGAGATCTGGAGCCAAACTTTCAAAACGCGCTAAGTGAACATAAGTACTTACGACTATTTTCTTGTCTATGATTGGTGGATTTTGCTTGAACGGTCGTCAATGATTGGCTGGTGAACTTACGATCTCTTAACTTTTCTTGTAAGTATGGCCCCAGCTCCATCGTAGGTCTCAAGTCGTTGCTGTTACGCAGTCTGTTTGTAATCATTAAGCATGTATGATGCTTCTATTTCTATTTACAGTGTATTATTTTGCGCTTGTTTTCTGACTGTGAATTGCTTTACTTTGTGCAGGATTACCTCAAACAGTTCCAGCTGTCGCCGCTCTTCAACGAAGAGGAATTTAATCACTGGTTTTTGCCCAAGGATGACATCGTGGACAGCTATCTTGTCGAGAGAGGAGGCACCATCACCGGTAATTTCTATCAAATAGTTGCAACTGAGAAGTCACTCTCTTCAATTTCATCCTCTTCATTCATTTAACCTGAACAATTTGGCTTGCCGGACCAAACTCAAACCATAAAATAATTTTGTGAGGAATACATCATCGGCCAGTCCGTCATGCGGTGTTGGCAGTTTGTTTGGATTGGCGCGTCTGGTTTCACGTCGCTTCGTATGATTTCAATAACTCGGGGCTTGCCAAAGAGCTGCGTGGGCCCACTTGTGAGGAACGGTTATAGGAGAAGTGGGGCCTAAGAATATAATTAGTCAATATATTCTTTGGGGTGAAACGAGCGGTGGGACTTTGAAACCCTTCTCTCCACTTGCTCAAGTTGGGTGGCCGCTGAAACAATTTCAATTTAATTTAATTGCCACCCCAATTAATTTAAATAATTTTTAATTTAATGGCCACTGAAACAGTTTTTGTTTGATTGCCCTAACTTAAAAACGCAACTTACTCCTCTAACTGAGTGTTAACTCGTCGCTTCAAGAACAATTGTTAAGGTGGCGTCTCGTGCAGATTTTGTGAGCTTCTACACGCTGCCGTCGACGGTGATGCACCACCCCGTCCACCAGTCCGTCAGGGCCGCCTATTCATTCTACAACGTCTCCACGGAAACGCCGTGGACAGCCCTTATGCAGGATGCTCTCATCTCTGCCAAAAATGTCCGTTGATTAGTAATTTACGCTCCTCAACGTTGGCGTGTCTCTTTGGAACGTATATATTTTTGATTAATTGAAAAATTTTATATAAACTTTTATTTACTAGATGAAGAAATCAGTCTCCAGCTTATGAAAAGCTGTTTTTTAATTAAAACTAATTAGTGATGGCAATGAAATGGTTTTTTGGTGATCTCATGGGCATAACAAAATTGCTCGGCATGGCTGCATGCGTATCATAGAGTTCAGCTCTTATCTTAGTGTTACCGAGTCAATTCATTAGGATTATCACTGAATTAGCCTCTATTTGTGTAATTAATCTCTAATTTTCTTGTGATTGCAGACAAAGTTTGATGTGTTCAACGCACTTGACCTGATGGAGAACAAAGTTTTCCTGGAGAAGCTGAAGTTTGGTCAGGGCGACGGCAACCTGCAGTATTACATGTACAACTGGCGCTGCTCTCCCATGCCCTCTGAAAAGGTGTGTGCTCTCTTAACCTGCAGTACTACATGTATAACTGGCGCTGCTCTCCCATGGCCGCCGAGCAGGGGTGTGCTCGCATACTGCCCCAGTTAAGGAGTATGTTCTCTCATGAACAACTTCTCGAGTAATGCTATAATTCAGAAGTTTAGAGTTACAAGGTTACGTAGGAATTTAATTGCATATTTAATAAGATTTGTCTACAGGACGCTTCGTTGCATTTACTTTAAATTTCATCGTTATGTCGTTATGTGAACTATCTAATGTACCCACAACGACATCGATGATTCTGTCACTCATAATTTACCTCGCTTTTTAGGTCGGCCTCGTGCTGCAGTAGACGCTCGGCCCTCCATAGAGACGTGCACCTCACCGACGCTGGGCGAGCCATCCCCACCCACCAAGCAAACGTCCTAAACTGCAATTCTTCTTGATCTAATTAGAGTAATCGAATGTATGTCGTCCGCATTCAACGTGTGCACCACATGGGCAACGTTCCCTCAACTCGGCATCACGCAATTAATTTTATTCTGAAGCCCAGATTGCAGGGTAAGTCTACCCTTGTCAGCGGCTGCTACCTCCTGGGTGTGGATGTGACTCCGGTCTCGGGAGCTCACGAAGCTCGCCAAACTATCAAGTCTTCAGCAAGGATATTTTCCCAACCACCGCTGCTAAGCCCAGCCTTCGGGAAAATGACGTTAAAATAACATCTTAACAAAATTATTTCGTGAAAACAACGTTAAACCAACATTAATTTAACGTCAGACGATTGTTGGCCAGACTCCTTGCTCGAGTACTTCAGTTTTAATGCAAAGGAAATAGACTCGTATCTTGGGTGTCTTCTATTAATTCAAAGTCCTGGAAGATTTGGACCTCTCATGTAAATGAACTTTGTTGTTTACATTGGGGAGACCAAAACGTCTGTGGGATTTAAATAAATTATTCTTAGTCCCACTCTCACATTTAAATCTTGCCCTTTAATTCAGAATTTTAATACATGTTGCCTGTAAGGGTTGCTCTTGCTGCTGTATCGCGTTCATTCAGTGAGGTCCGATCCCTTTATTCCTACTGATGTTGACACGACCTACTGAATCTTTTACCGCTGCTGTTATCTTAGTATAATTATTAATGTATTTTCACCTCGCTTCCTGAACGAAATGCTCGTGGTCTTCTGGTGCAAAGTTTCCTGTAGCTTGCCGAATGAATATTAAGACGCTATGGTCAGTGCAGAGGATTTTTTGAATGACGCTCCATCAATAATCTAATTATACTCCGGAATGAAATTTATACTCATCATGTATCCTACAAATAAAATTGTGTGAAATCTCGGTAATTATAACTTGAATAATTACTTCTCTTCTTAACACCGCATACTTGAGTTGGGACTGCTGTCACTCATTGGCCCTGGCTTCTGGTCCAGCGAGACTTCACTCGTACTATCGACTTCTTGCTAACTAGTTATAATTATATCGTAGTACGAATAATAGTTTGATATCTGAAGTATTTATCAGTATCAGAAGCCTGACATACTTGGCGCATGCTGGCATTCGTCCGAGAATGGAATCGCGTTCAGGTCGTGCTCGAGAGGCGAGCGTAAATCTGTGGCACAGTTTTTATAATGGATATGGCTTGAAATTAATACGATCATAAATCTGAGTAGCATTTGATTCTGTGTAAGGTTTAACAGATGTTTAATATCTACCGCCATTCCTACCATAGACGAAGATCGCGAAACGGATTGATCAGAGGGCCACTCCTCTTCTAACATGACTTTTTTTTTATTTTACATGCAACATACGCCCGAGTTAATAAGCAATTCACATTCGAGTTCAATAGGATTCCATAAGATAAATTAGCAAAGTACAATTTCGCTTGGCAACTTGTGACGCAGTGGACGCAACGCGTCGGCAACCACATCACTAGTTGGCGGCGCTGCTCTTTTGTTCTCGCTTTTAATTCTTCAATGAACATGGGTGGATGGAGTCATACATTTAAGGCATCCTTCCGTGTCAAATTTTCACTGCTTGATCCATTTCTAACATTATTATTATTGCCGAATTGTAAAGCAAATACGTGTCTGATTTTTTTTATGCTATTACATTATCATCTCGATTTAATTAGTCGATTATGGAGGTACATGTCGGTGGCTTAATCTTTTGTCTAAAGATACATCTTAATTTGTTCACTAAATAGCATTGACCGCCGCCAATGCTGTTCATGTCTTAAGGTTGGGCTAACAAAGTTGCCCTCAGTTCTCTACATGTTGATCTGTTCGCTGCAGTTACTCGCGCTTCTAACAACGTGCTCAGTTCAGAGTCTTCGAGTCTCTTCGATATTGACATCAATTGCATAGAAATCAATACGAGTTCTTGGTTACCGCCATATTTGTCGGTCTTGACTACCATGAAATTGTCTTAATTCTTTGTTGTGATCCACTAAAATCCTGAATTAATCCTTGAACCGCTCATAACTAGTCGAGTGTGGAGTGTGATAGCCAGGCAGTGTGTCCATTTCGCTACCTTTATTGTCGAGGCTCGGCCAAATGATTGGTCGGTGCTATCATATTTTAATAATTTACTTCAAGCAGAATTTTGTTTGTTTTAGGCTCAACTCGAATGCATGCGTACATGAATAAACTCTTTGACTGGGACATTGGCTCATGAAATTTAACCTCCAAAGAGAATATTTTTTTCATTTCTCCAGATTATGGTCGTGCACTTCTGCAGCAAAAATATAATACAAATATCGCAGTGTGTTTGGCTGAGCCGAAGAATTCGCGTTTTCTGTCGTTTCTTGCTTCTCAAATCTCAACGCAAGAACAAATTTGCATCCTTTCGCAGTGTTCTTCTACAGCTTAACTAACGTCAGGACAGTGATAGGTTATAAACAAAGCATTTATTTAATCTTTGGCATGCCTACGGTGCATTAAATCCATAAGAAAGTTATGACAAAATATACAGCACATACAGTGCGCTGCTTCAAACTATTAAGAACTGTAGCAATTAGCGTATCCAGTATGACAAATAATATATCCACCTAAGTGTCAGCCAAGTAAACTTTACCAAACATCAAGGTTTAGTTCAGTCTTTTCCTGTCAGGTCATGGTTGAACTAGTATAAGGTTGACCCATGAGAAGCTTATTTTTGCGGATGTAGTTTGTTGTTCGCCTGTGACGTCACTGATCTCAGTGACGTCACGAGCATTAACAATTCACCGAAATGTGATCAAACCGGCTCAAAAGTTCTGAGCTTGTGCTTTTTTTTCGTTGGACAACCTAGCAATTATGGTGATCTGCTGAACGAAAAACATGATTCACTAATTAATACCGATACGAGAGGAAGGCAGGAATTCTGATCAAAAGATTGGCTTCGGTGTTGACTACAAGCAAGGCAATGAAGAGTAAGCACACGAGCATCATTATGAACAGTTCTACATCAAAATATTTCTCGTTGGTACACCATTTATTATTACTCTGTTTGGCCGCCTCCTACAGCTGCTGGGCATTGAAACTTTCGTAGCCAGCAACGACGGCTGCCATATCCTTGATTTCATTGCCAATGCAAACGAACAATTTTGTTGCATGTCCATGCTGACTTTACAGCTCCCTATTCGTCTAAGGACCGAAAGCCTCAAATAAAATGTTCGTATATATAGAGGAGGTTGACTATCCCTTCAGCTGAAATGTCCGGTAATTGTACAATTATACATCGACTCTAAGGTAAATTGTACTCGCGATGAATTAAATGCTAGGAATTCTACAGCGCCCAGGGGTGCAAATACATAAACAGAAACTGGCAATACTGCAATATCACATTGGTTACAAAAGCGCTACACCGTTGAGCGCCATTCAGGAAAGTCAAGGAGCTGTTGAACAATATAGTAATATCAAATATTACGTCCGCTAGTCCAGCGCTGATCGTGCTGAGAACTTGGCGGTTGAGGTTGGATGTAGTAGTTGAAGTGTGTCAGTGGCAAATGTATGTACGCAAAGGACTAAATTACTTTTCACTTTAACGTAATGGGTTCAATTATAGATTCCCATTTTGTACAAATTTACGATAGGATATATTGGAAATTATGCATTCGGACAAAGAAGTGATTGAAACTAACAAATCTGAAAGGTTTTGTTCTTTACTTGAGTGGCTTGACTGCGAGTTACGGTGGACGAAAGGATTGTTAGGTGTGGCTGTTGCTTAACTTGCTTTAGGATGGTGCAAAATCCAGGATACATTCACTAAAGGTACAGAATTAATAATGTCATAAATTCCAAATCATGAAAGGCGTTAATAAACATGTCATGGGAACGAATTACTGTCAACTCGGGATGTTATAGTAGGTAAACATTCGAAGGAGTTCTGAAACTGAAAATGTGAATGGAATGTAAATGAGTGTTAAATATTTTCAAACTCTTCATAGAATGTCTGAAAAGCTTCAAATTCAAGTGTGAACAATGCTAAAATAAGCAACTAAAACCATTACGTGCTGACACATTTAGAAAAGCCATCAGTTCTCACACTGAACTTACGATACAGCAATGTGTAAAACTTGCGTCAATACCAACAATTTGCTTCAACAGCATTCAAACTATGATACCCGTACATTTTTTTAATTAAGCGCAAGGATCCGAATCTTCAGACTAAATTATATCTTCTGAAGATGAAGTTTTCAAGAAACTTTTTATTGACAGACGACGTCTCGACACAATAATGGACAGGTTCCCATTGCCGGTAAATGGGCACCGAGTATAGAAGAATGAAGACCAGAAATGCTTAGAGAGTTTAGGCACAAAATTAAATCTACGACACTGCCTCGAATACAACTATAATTTAATTCTAAATACACATAGCGTAGTGCACTAGGAGTCTAATGAGGCAGGTAAAGGCAGGTGGGGCGGTCGTACGTGCAAGGTTGCGTGCTCACGTCACAATAGCACCAATAAAAGCGTCAGGGTTACACTAGCATTCCGTTCAGCGCTATATTTGCGCCTGATAAATAAAAAAGTCTCGACTCCATCGGCACCCAAATACTTATGCTGAACTTTATGATAAATGGACAACAATGTATGTAAGTTATCCTGAATAAAAACGAAAAAATTTAAATTTTTTCTTGGCACAGGAATTTTTCTTAATCAGCAGTGTTCAGGCATCATAAATTTTTCCGACCGATTATGCATCGACTTGAGATTATATGAAAATTTTCTGGTCAACTAGTTAAGATAATTTGGTGAAAATGATATGCAGTCCTGCTAGACCTAGAGCCACCTCATACGTGTCTGCCACTCTTCGATGGCATCAAAGTTTTGTATTTCATTAATAAAAACTCATTGATTGTCTTCATTGAATAACTGTATTAGAACACGCAGAAGTGAAGTATTTCATTCATAAATATTAAATTGCAAGCAAGCCCAATATTTCCACTCGGGCTTATCTGCCGAAGAAAAGTGAACAACATTCAGCTGTCAATGGACCTGGAATTCTTAGTTTTGTTCGTAATATTTAGTCAAATTGTCACAAGAATGAACCATCATCTTATATTTGTTGAGGACTGAAACAACTAATTATTTAGAAAGAAAAAGGAATTTCAAGAATGACTCAGTCGGAATGACTGCTCAGTTTTGGTGCTGCCGGCGCATTCAGAATATTTAACTTCTGTCGACCAATATCTACGAACTTCACCAAAGAATCTTCCGGCAAGAATAATACTTTAGCTGGAATGAATGTCTTGTGAAATGAACATTTTGAATTTCAACTGAATTATTCAACTTTAATATGAGCAATTTCAAACACTAATTTATCTTAAAGATAATTGCACTGTTATTGAGAATCAGAACGTAACTTGATCGTCTCCCGACTCCATCCCATTAGTTTATCACTGCTTGATCAGAGAATCAAGAAGCAGTGAATCACTGCTTGATCAGAGAATCATCACTGCTTGATCAGAGAAGAGAATCAAATCAACATAATATTCTGCTTTTCAAGCGCTGATGAAATGCGTCGTAGATAATGTTTTTTTGGTCAGGTACTCAATTAAGGAGAAATTTATATCTTGCTGCCGAATGTTTTTATGATCCAGGATAACGTTTTTACGACTGACTATCCAGGCGCTGAATTAAAGAGAAATTAGTATCTTGCTTACGAATGTTTTTACAGTCCAAGACGAGTCCTTCTCATTGGCAGAGCCTCCTGTCGAGGAGGCACTCGTGAAATCATTGGACAGGCGCTCAATTAAGGACAAATTTGTATATCGCTGCCGATTATTCTTATGATCCAAGATAACGTTTTTACGACTGAGTATCCAGACGATGAATTAAAGAGAAATTAGTATCTTGCTTACGAATGTTTTTACAGTCCAAGACGAGTCCTTCTCACTGGCAGAGCCTCCTGTCGAGGAGGCACTCGTGAAATCATCATTGTGATTTCTGTCGTCACTCGAGGCCTCCTCTAGAGGCGTCTTGGACGAGTCTGTCTTGGTTGACGAGTAGAGGGAGGTCTCGTGAGCGATGGTCGTGATGGCGTTCACGACCTGCCAAACGCCTGCACTGTCGCCCACTGGCGTCACAACTGTAACAAGTAAATAGTCATTTATTCCTTCTTTTAATTATGATAATTTAAAGATTTTCATGCTTTAACTATCTAACGTAGTGTCGAGAAAGTAATCGCGTCGTCGTGGTAGCTCATCTTCAAACATTGCGACATAAACAGCCATAAGTTATTGTTCCAGCTAGATAAATTGCTGAGCTCAAGTAACGTCATGAAGTTTTTTATACGAGGTTTGAATTAGAATTAGAGACAGGGTGGAAACAATATTCCGCTTTCGGAAAATATAACGCTAGGAAGAATTTTATCCATATAAAAATTTTAATCCAAACTTGAAAAATCGTCTATCTTTAAATCATTCCTTATAATGGAAGTTACTATGCACATTAATTCACGTTATGTAATGAAAATATATCAGCAATAAGGTAATTTATAATTTTTTGCTGATGAAGCGCTGCACCCTCACCCAGTTTGCGGGATAGCGTCTCATGAGGCACGCAGAGGTTGTGCTTGCATAGTTGGAACAGAGGCGCTTTCTTCAGAGGCACGTCCACCCACGCCGAGCCGTTGAACTTGACGAGCATCGTGTACAGAGTGAGGCGCTGCAGAGTAAACCCCGACGGAGGCTGCAAGTCCACGGGCAATCCGAAGACGTCGATTGGGAGCTCGAAGTCTTCTGTGGAATGTTGCTGCTCTGGGATCGGGTAATTATTGTCAGAAGCTTCACCCGAGTCCAGATCCTTGGAATAGACTGCTGCCAATTTCGGAGAGATTTTTATTTTTTGGGGGTTGACTTCGGCGGCTGGTCGTAGGGTTTTTTCGATTTGTGCTTCTGCAATAAACTTGGCTCCTCCATCGTGAAGATTTTTCACGTACATTACATTTCTTTTTCCATTTCTCAACATCATGACTGGATGTCCGAAGTCAACTTGGTTTTCTTCTGCGTTTTCTGATATGTAAAATCTCGGGTAATTTTTATCGTCGTTATGTTTTACTCGATTATGTCGCACACGAAAACTGGGAGGGTTGAAAAACATCGAATTTGCCACCGGCGGCCTCTTGCCGAACATTGCGTTTCTCTTCTTCATTGGGTCGTTCAATTGAACCAAATATTGTGGAGCTGCTGCTGGTACTACGAGTTCTGCTTTTTCTTCTGAAGGGGACGGCTCAAGCTGCTCTCCTGCGGCGGAGAACCCTTCTTCCGCATCGTCTTCCTCCATCTCTTCGTGATCTTCTTCTTCATCGTCATTGTCACCGAAAGAACTTCTTGTCGTCCTTTGATTGTTTATTGGACCGACAAAAGAATTTATAAGGGTATTTGATGGGTCCCATGCCATGATCTTGAGCACCAGACCTCGACATTGTTCTCCAACGATCAGAGGCTCCCAGTCTAAAATAATACTGCCGTCGTACTGTGCCTGCCAAACGTTCTCGCCCTCCGTCGTCGACATGAGTTTGACTTTGGCATCACAGAGTGGGCACTGCCCCGTGTTGGTAACCTCCACTTGACAGTAACGGTTCGGGAGCCCGTCAGGCGTCGGCAGGAACGGCGTAATGGACGGGTAACTGAGGTTACTGGAGGCGCCGCCTTCCGGAGCGCGAGGTCCAACCATTTGGTGGATCAAAGAGATGACGGGAATCTTCCCAGCCAACTCTGTCAAGAAGGAATTGTGGTTTAAACTATTCCTGTTAGTTGCTAACAGGATTTTTCTGACAGTAACGTTAGGTTTTGATATGCGTTTACAATTTATGTCTGCATTCATTTGCGAGACGTTGGCGGATTGAGGCAAAAGTAAGGCTCATAAAGAAGAATGGAACATTCACATAAAGAATTGTGAGTTAATGGAAAATAGTTGAAGATTGTTTCAACCCTAGAAATAATTCTATTTCATCATATAAAATGAACTGTGAAAATTAATTCTAATTACTAAATAGCTAACGAACTCACTATTGCCACTGAGCATGATGCAGGAGTAGTCGATGCTCTCACCGTCGATCGCTATTTCTGTAAGTAGATGACACTGCTTCACTTTGAAAGGCTGCCCGACCACCTCACCGGTGCTGCCCGAGATCAGAATCATCTCGTTGACCATCATGACAGGCTCCCCTCGTCTGGGCTCGGGGAAGCTGGACGATGTGTCTTCCTCGGATGTGTACTTGAGCATCGCCCGATCAGTTAGAAGTTCTGAGTGTGCAGAGAGGGAGGAAAGGCGGTGATCTGTGGTCGTGTGGGCGGAGTTGGTAGTGATGAATGACATGCCCAAGTCGGTGTCGTCATGAGGGGACATTTTGAAGGAGGCCTGGTAGGCCCCGGGGAAGAGCAGGTCTGGTTTGGAGTCGCCGGTGACATCAGGGATTAGCACTGGCAGGCCAGGATACGTCATGATCGGCGATTCACCTGCAGGATAAAAGAATGTTTTTGCGCGTAGAGTCACTATGCATGTTTCATGCACCAAATTGATCATTAACTTATCGAATTTTGATGTAATTGTTCAATGAATTGCTGAATGATAGGATGTTGTGTGTGGTACTGTATACTGGATTTTTCTGGAACATCGTCTCTAATGAATTTCAAACTTACATTGCATTCCTACATCCGAGTCTAAGAATATGATACCTCGTCTCATTTCAACTTGAGTGTTTTATTTATTTATTTCATTTTGAACTTTCGCTGAAGCGTAAACTTGTAAATAAAGTCTGAATTCAAACTTACTTTCGGTTCGAGAAAGTTGCGAGAAGATGTAAAGTTTGACGTAATAATCAAACTCATGATCAATGCTTTTCAAATTTAAAGAGGCTCTATATAATTACCACCTATAGTGTAACGTTACCTGATTAAGATAGCAGAGCTTAAATTCGAACAAATAAATTCATACAGAGACAGTCCCTTCAGTTCTTTAGTTTTATGTTCCGATTTTTTTCTTTTTGCTTGCGTCGTGCCCATAATTTATACTCAGTGGAAAATTACTGACGCGGCAGCTTCTGATTTGGATTAACATATGCTGGGGCGATTCTAAATTTTGTTAGAGTAGAGTTGCATGTGCAAACTGCAGACGAGCGTCTCACCAGACTCCTGGCGGTCGCTGGTACCTGCAGACTAGCGTCTCACCAGACTCATGGCGGTCGCTGGTACCTGCAGACGAGCGTCTCACCAGACTCCTCGCGGTCGCTGGTACCTGCAGACGAGTGTCTCCCCAGACTCCTTGTGGTTGCTGGTACCTGCAGACGAGCGTCTCACCAGACTCCTCGCAGTCGCTGGTACCTGCAGACGAGCGTCTCACCAGACTCATGGCGGTTGCTGGTACCTGCAGACTAGCGTCTCACCAGACTCCTGGCGGTCGCTGGTACCTGCAGACGAGCGTCTCACCAGACTCCTGGTGGTCGCTGGTACCTGCAGACGAGCGTCTCACCAGACTCCTGGTGGTTGCTGGTACCTGCAGACGAGCGTCTCACCAGACTCCTCGCGGTGGCTGGTGTCCCACACGACGCGGCCGGTGCGAGGATCGAAGAGCCTCACGAGACGACGCCGGCCGATGGCGAGGCAGTTGTAGCTGCGCTCGCTCTCATGGCTCATCTGACGCAACGATTCAAGGCGCAATCGTTGTAAGTGATCAAAGATACAATAGGAAAAATATTTTCAAATCTCAGATCAGGCAGTTAGTCAGCATAGCCAAGCGTGATTTCAAGCTGAACAATTAAATTTTCAAGCAGAACAATTCAAGCGAGGCCATTTTTGAAGAACTAATGGTGAAATAAATTTGTTGATTGCTTGAAGAGTATTCATCAGTTTTCATCTTATTTTCCGTTCATTTAAAACAAGCAATATGCCCTATTAACTGCTCCCTCTTTTTGAGTTAACATAATGAACATGTTAGAATAATGTCAGTTTAATAATCAGACGCTCATACGAGTTCCTAGATGCAGAAACGATGAAGCAGTTGTTTGTTGCCGTCGTACGCCCGAGTCTAGAGTTTGAAGCTATTACAAACTATCGCCAGTCATGAAAAGATCCGATCAAATGATACGAGTTTAGATCTATGAACAAGGCACGAAAAGGAAAAGAATCGGCGACAGGCCACATCAGGCCTACATTTCAGCGCCGACATCATTATGTTATGTTATGTTATGTTAAGACATAGACAATATTGCTTCAATATTCTCAGTGAAAATTTACAGACGCGGCAGCTTCTGATTTGGGTTACCAGAAGCTGGGACGACTCTAAATTTTGTTAGGGTTGTGGGAACACTACCAGCGGCGAGAAGCAAGCAACAGCATTGTGCACCAGGTGGCCCAAATGAGGGCGGATGAACGTATAATCAGAGGCGGCGATCCATCGTGGCCTGGGACTGCTACGTCCCAAACAAGTACCAAGATTACTATGTTATAGTAGCGGCTACCCACCAGGTGGCAGAGCGTGCGGGTAGGACACTCGCTGAGCGGCGTCTGCCAGACGCGCGCCCCGGACGCGTCAGAGAGCAGCGCGAGGCCGCAGCGAATGGCGCCTCCTGAGGGCATCGCGCGAAGACCTGAGCCCCTCCTGCTACCCTCGTCCACCTCAGGAAGTCTTCTGCAGTCTGTGTTTATGTTTTGTATTGTATTATTGTTTATGTTTTGTATTGTATTATTGTTAATGTTTTGTATTATATTATTGAACTCGGTGAACAACGAGTTCAAGTCCTTAATCTTACCCGTGAAGTCTGTTAGTAATAAGTTGAAGTATTTTTTTCATAGTATACCAACAAAATACTCCGGCGTGGACCGAAACTGATTATCACGTGAATTTTAGAATCCTGTTTCACCAAAACTTTGAGTATACTAACAAAAAGTCATTCCAAATCTAAAAATGATTTCAAAACCAACCTACGTTACGTAGACCACAATAATAAACGCCGAAAATAGAAGCAAAATCGACAGAGTAACCAAATGTTCATAGAAAGATTGAAACCTAAATAGCAAAATAAATGGGCTAGATGACGCAAAATCCTATGGCCAGGCGAAGCACGATATTCTAGGCTTGACAATATTTCGATGAAAACCAAGACTAAAATATAAGCAGGGCTAGCAAAAATTCTGTTTCACAAGAGAAACATATTGAGAATTTAACCTGCGGCAGCGAGGCAGCGCCACAACGCGTCGGCGGACGACGCGTTGACGGGCTCGTAGTAACTGACGAGCAGCGCACCCCGCCCTGTCCGCTCGTCCACGATGGACAGCGTCTCGTTCACACCTGCACGACGATCAACATTCCGGCACGATAAGTGCGGCTGCAAGCCACTTCCTTTTTATTAAGAAATAATATTGGTTTGTTCATTTGTTATTTTGTTTGTCGTACTGCAAAGAAAAACACCGTTCGTATCTCATCTTCGGACTTCAATTTTTCTTCCTGTAGGAGCCTAGCAGTTCCAGTCATATTACATACCATGTGTTGGTATATGTACGACAAATTAAGAACCATCAAAGTCCCCACTACTGCTCACACTCACCGATGCCGTCCAGCACCTGCATCCAAGCATCGTCGTAGTCAGCGGAGAGCTGGCCGTCGTGTGGTCCATTGTTGTGGGGAACGCCACACAAGTCGTCCACGCCGCACGGCATAATCCACACGAACACGACCGTGACCAGCACCCCCAGCATCACCGTGGCCAGCACACACGCGCGTCGTGCCGGTGACATGGGCGTAGGCGTCCACACGGCAGACAGGCGCGCCTGGTCGAACGCTCCTGTCCCTCCTGAATGAGCAATAGGCAATTATACTACGTGCAACTAAACGGAAATACAGGAATGAATCTACAACGTGGTTCATTCAGGTGTTCATCATTTCGAGACATTAAGTCTAGCGTTGAAACAAATGTACGAGAATTTAAGGCCTTTTATTTTAGTTGAAAAATTATTTTCTCCAGGAAAGAGTTAAACTGCACGAACTACTATCGCTTGCTTCCATTTTAGCTAATTGATGGATTGATCCTCAATGGCAGTGCCGCAGTATACGGCTCAATAATCCTTTGATATTTATCTACAGTATAAATGGCAGTAACTGTACTATAAAACCTTTTAAGCTCGTTGCAGACCCCGAGTCGCTGTCGCCGTTTGTCAGGAGCTGGTAGTCGTTCTTGGAGTGCCCTGAAAAGTGTAATGTTTAAACTGTGCGATGGAAGTGAATGTTCACATAATTGAATGAGCTGGTTAGCCTGGCGTTGTCCGGGATAAAAAATCCCTGCAATATGATCCTCCCGTTACAAGTCTCGTATTCTCGAACCCCGTTTCATCGAATATTGTTAAACCGATTACCGTCAAATCGAATCCAGAATTTTGAATTTTGACACTGCAGTTGAGCTAGGGATAGTACAGGAAAATACAGAGAAAATTCTTCGATCGTAAGCACGCCATCAAGGTAATAAATTCATCGATGGTATGCATGCCACGAGCGCAGGCCTCAACCTCCCATACAAAACAATTAACTTCCACAAATGAAGAAATATTTTACAACTGTAATACCATTTTTTAAATCGTACAACACAAATCGGTGGAAATAACTGACATAGATTCGGTCTTGTCCTCAAAATTGTGCAGAAGTTAGGAATAGTATTGGGTAGTCATGCATAAGTTATTACTAATTTAAAGTGTTTTAATTTAAAGACTCTGACTATATTCTCGTAATGCAGAAATCAGTTCTATGAGCAAAATAAAACAAGGAAAAGGTACTGAAATATCAGATGTAGATACCGTGGAGTTTTACTGATAATAACTATAAATGAAAAATCTTGATAATATCAATATTAAACTCATCACTGAGTTTGGGCTGAACCCGGGACTAAACCTTAATAATATCAATGTTGAAATCACAACTGAGTTTGTCTTTATCCTAAGTCAAAGACATAATATTATAATTGTTGAACTCACCACCGAGTTTGGGTTTATCCTGAGCCACAACATTTCTCGAACCATCGAAAATGTATTCCTCATCATCGTCGCTCTCGCCAGCGATATCTAGTCGCCCACCGGGAGAACTAAGCGACATATTGTCTGAGTTCATATGACGTGCGTTGTTCAATGTATCTTCGTCATTGTCATCCGCTTCGTCCTCCTCAATGATGGTATGAAAGTCGCCGCTCATGACAGTCTCCTGCTCCGTCACGTCGTCGTGCGCTACACCTTCGTAGAGCGCCGAGTCACCATCGTCTTGCAGCAGCAGCGAGTAATGCTTCGTCGCGCCAATGTTCATGGGAGGCAACCTGGTCAATTCATTAATTGTTATTTATATCGGCGGCATGTAATACTATTCATATAGGAAAACATGAAACGTACTATTTCACACAACACAGTGAAAAGTGAAACTTTGCCACGTCACTTTGGTTTGAATTGTAAGAAATAGAATAACGGAGCATGAATTTTAATAAGAAACTTCTGTCTCCTAGTAGCGACTCAAGCTGATGGCACTTAGAGAGTAATTTATTATGTAATGGCATGACATTCTTATAATAGAGAAGCTAAAAAAGTTTATATTTCTATTGATTGTGAGGATATTTAGAACATTCAGAGAGATTAGTCAGCTGGGAGTAAATGCTGATGAGAGTGCAACGTCTCGCGTGTTAAGAACACACCATGGCAACTAACGAACTCAAGATCACACGGACGACACAGCATCGTTTCTTCGCGCTCCACCTATAGCATTGCACTCCATATTCTTTTAGAAGATGTCAACTTATTATTACACAAATACAATTCTCATCGAAGTCGATAATTACTCACAGAATGTGCCGCAAAGATCAATGGGAAGTAAAGTCTATGTAGTGGATGCTTTTCAGCTCGAGTTTTGTATAGCATGGCAAAACCAGCGAGTAACTACTACTGCGAATGCGCTAAAGCTACTGAACGCATCTTCGACCAGGCCCTGTTTACAACAGCACCATAGAAAACGGATAAGTTTCTGTAAATCTCAGGGTAAACTTTCATGTTCCTTTGAATATCGGTATATTTTTAACTAAATTATGGTTACTTCTTTGGATAAATTCCTGCCTTCCAAACAGAAAGAAATTAGTTAACTGGTTCTGTTTCGTGAAACGTGCTCCATTAAATGTATAAATTCTTCGGGATTGGGCTATGACCTTGATTTATTCATCGCCAATAACACAACTTGTAGAAATTTCCTTGAGCATTCTAGTAATAAATCATTGAATTTTTCGAATTTCATTTAACTCTCAAATTAATTATAACTTTTTTGACTTTTTGACATAAACAATAAGGTAAAGGGCGGGGAGAAGGAATAAACATTTGTATGTAGAAACAAAGTGACGTCCGGCCAACAGGGGACCTACACCAAGACGAGGCAGACATCAAATCTTGAGATGTTTGTTATAGCGTGTAACTTAAACAGAGGCATGGGGCTGGCAGAGGGCTGGCAGGGGGCTGGCAGGGGGCTGGCAGGGGGCTGGCAGGGTGCTGGCAGGGGTAAGGTCTTGGTAGATGAACATGAGAAGGTCACTGCATTTGTTGATCTTCGTTTGCTTTATTCTCCCATTGTTTGGATAAGCGAAAACTTTTCAACCTGGGGTCTTGTTGGACTTTATCAAAAAGTGTCACAGTTGAAATACATGTGTAATTCTTACGAATTCAACAAAATTTATTAATGTTTATAAATTTGTGAAAATATGTCGCACAGCAGTCATGACTTCTTCAATGGAGTTGAAGTGCTGCTCTGCGATCGTAAACTTGTGTAGAGAGCAGAACTTTGGGAATAAGTTTTGTGCACAGCAAACCTTAGAAATGACTACCGCAAAGAGCAAACCTTAAAAAATGAGATTTGTAGAGAGCAGACTTGAGAGGCGCGAGTTTCGCTACAGCGGGGCTGCTAAGCTGCACTGCGTCAGTCCGCTGATGCTGCGCCAGTCCACTGATGCTGCGTCAGACCACTAATGCTGCGCCAGTCCACTGATGCTACCACTGATGCTGCGCCAGACCACTGATGCTGCGCCAGTCCACTGATGCTGCGCCAGTCCACTGGTGCTTCGCCAGACCACTGATGCTGCGCCAGTCCACTGATGCTGCGCCAGACCACCGATGCTGTGCCAGTCCACTGATGCTGCGCCAGATCACTGATGCTGCGCCAGACCACCGATGCTGTGCCAGTCCACTGATGCTGCACCAGTCCACTGATGCCCGAAAAGCTGAAACAATAAGTCTACGGTAGTCGCTCCTAACATTCGAATATCTAATATGTGCATATACTAAATTTAAGGTGAACAATTCCAATAACGAGACGGAAAGGGATGATTCGAATACAAAGGCAAAACGACAAAGGAAATTTTTTAAACACGTGAAACAAAGCAATTTGGAACTTTATTATATATGATATTTTAAATTATGTATTCATGGGGAATATCATTGCTAGGCACTAATCGTGATTCTAACAACAAATCTGAAAAAAACTATTTTTGCTAATCAAATTGCATATTTTTTCCGGAAATATCAAGCAGAGCAGAGTTTATTTGAACGTCATCACACACATACACACGAAAGGTTACCATCAGGAAACCAATTGTGGATGCAGTAGCGGAGTGTGGCAGTACAGCCATGCACTTCGCGCTGCTGTTGCGCACTGCACCCCGCACACGCTGCCTCCCTCACCTCCTGCACTGGGGGCACGCCAGTGTCTGGCGAGTCTTCGTCGAGTGAGTGTGTCGTGTGCAGCGGCTGATATGCCTTTAGCTTCCTGGACTCTTTAGCTCTCTTCATTTTACTGACATATTTCATTATTAATTTTATTTCAGATTACGTCCACTCACCGTCAAAATGATGAACCAGTTTTGGAATCTTTGCCGCACTTGTCCGTCCATGAATATGGATAAGGTTAGTAAAACTTTAGAAGTTTTTCATCAACTTATTCGAACGTCACTTGGCAAAGATCATGTCAAGTTCAGGGTCAAGGTTATGGTTACTATGTCAAGTCTCGACGGCACGATGGAAGACGACGCTATTTTTCTCAGAAAAAAGTCAATGAATGTTCATGAGCAAAAGTTTACATAATCACTGCTGCTCGCTTTATTAGTGCAGTAATTGTTGTGCTGTGCCTGAGAACGCGCATCTAGAAGGGACATAATGCAATGAGCGAATTGAGGAATTGAGTTCATTAACACCGTGGCGCTGTTAGCAACATGAATATCATATTTGCACAGATGATAATTTTCTATGTTTTAAATCAGTGCCGAACGGACACGGAACAGTATTTAGAATTTGTATCATAAATGGCATCTAATATTTGTTGGCTTAATTAACGCATTACAGGACCTTCGCATGCATAGCCGCTTACGGACAAATAAAAAATAATAATACTGAATATAAAATAATAAAATAAATAAACAAGATATTTCATTTCATTCAGCGCTGCAATTGAAATTAATCTCTTCATTGAAATTTCATGATCTTTTCGCGTCACAAAGTTGGTACCGTTTGATTGCGGATAATTACATTCTAGATCAGCAATTATGATTTTACAATGAACGATTTGAAGTTATCATGGTCCACGAGCGCAAGCCTTGCAGTGCCTAAGTTGGCTGGCACTCTTTGGTATATTGAAGAGTTGGTCTTTCAATAAATAATGAATTATTAGTTTATTCTTTTTTTGCGTGCGAAATTTCGCTGTCGAATGTTAGGTAAGAATTGCCAATCCTGCCCTGGTGCTGGTAGTTGAGGCGTAGGAAATAAGCGGCCATTCCATCTCAAGGCATTATGTTGCTCATTAATAAAGATAAATATAACCGTAGGAGTGTCTCTAAATCTTACAGAAACAGTGATTTGACCCTGAGCCTTCAGGGGGCTAGGAGTGATCAATCTTATAAGCGCCAGTAGCTGACTGAAAAATTTAATTTTGTGTAGAATTTACAGAATATAGAATTTTTAGAATAATATCAACGTAGCTCTGGTGATGTGTTAATTAACATTTAAACACAAACCAACTGAGCGGAGTGAGCAGAAATGAGCAGCGGTCTAGCATGCATATTTTGCGCGGTATTGCATGACAAACTCATCCAGAACTTCATCTCGCAGGCTTTGTGATGTCTGATGAAAATAGCAGGCAGCATAGTTGACTGCTCATGTGGAGTTGCCAGATACAAAGTAACAGTTAGCACGCAATACGAAAAAATTATTTCGGTCCTTGCTCCAGTGACGATTTTGATCTCTTTAGGGATTATAAACGACAGTACGACAGTTTCAAGAAACTTGGGCGAACAACTTCTCAAGCGGGTGGCAAAATAAAAAAAAAAGAATATATTGTGTATTTGCTAAATTTGTCTGTTTGTTATTATGTTGATTAAAGTATGGAGCAGTTAAGAAGCTACCATATTCGTGTCAAATACCAACAGCGTGGGCATAATGACGGCATGCCAAAGCCTATTTAATATATTAGTCATTTCTAGCGGCGGAATCATGAGGCTTCACCCAATGAAAATCGATTAAGGAATTTACTTGATGAAAATTAAAAAATCGATTAAGGAATTTACTACTAAGTAAATGAATAATTGATTAAAACTTATTTTTTGCACCAAGAAGTTTCTATCGTATAACACAAGAGAAGTCAAATGAGAGTATGAGCGGGCTTCGCGTTAGTTTAATAACGTAAGACTCACGACGGTAGCAGCGAAGTGACTACAGGTACGGGATACTCAAAGCAGCACCGGGTTAAGCTGCATGTATTATGTGTACGATATATACTGAGGGTTGTCGGTCCAAATTGAAATAAAAGCTGGAAATCGTACAAAGCTGAAGAATTGTAAGTATTGTGCGGGTTTGTGCTTGAAAAAATGTAAGAACAGAATGGATGTAGATTCTGCTTGCTTTCTCAAGTAAACGTAATTCAATTTGAGAGACACGACATTCGCACGGACACATTGTTCCACGAATGATGTTTTGCGAGTGGAATTAAGATATTATTATATCCATACGAATTAACATTGCCTGGGAAAATTATTCGACTAAGTTGGCTGCCAAGAAAAATTACTCGAGGAATAAATTGCAACGCTCACACATTGGCAACAGGTAGCAATCGTGCTAAACGGTAACTCAAAAGGTAATTGAAGTTTTATCTCGCTCGATAAATTTTTTGTACAGCTTTGTGCGAATGAAATGGTTATAGTATTTCAGTATTCATTCGAAATCAATGGCACACTGATGTTTAATTTTTTTCTGACGTTTACAGTATTTTCAAGTTGAATATCAGTTTGATTTCATGTGTCCTAATGCCGGAACGACTTTGTGCTTGCAAAATTTTTTGATTTGATTTGATTTATTTATTTATTCACACAGGAGCACACGTTACAATGTTTAGCTAACGGAGACTCCGAGTTTTGTATAATAAATACGGTACATAGCGGCGAATTAAGCTCGCTAGAGACATGCAATTAGTGTTGGTGCTGTCAGATTAGAGAGCCGTAGTCGCGGCCATGAGCGGCTTGCTGGCTGTGTGAGGGAGAGAGATGCTAAAACAGGGCAGGCCGATTGCGAATAATGGCATAGAGATCTCTCAATTGTGAAGGAGGGCTGTGAGTTGATAGAATATTAAATATGAATAATGTAACTACTGAACTAGAGCATTGGCAAGACTATTTAGACCGTAGCTGGTAGAGGCGGGTGATGAGGACAGAGCAGCAAGTAGAGGTTAGGATTTCGAGTCTCGCTGTGCGCCTCCTGATCATCTGGGAGGCTTGCATGTACGCCTCAATTAAATTCTTGACTTGTCTTTATAAGAAACAAAATCACTACCGATGAATTTTTATTATGCGATTATAATTTGATTACTTATGGTATCTCTGTACATGATTGGTACAATGCGTGTGTGCTCTTCCAGTAATTATCTGACGAGTCAGAAATATCTGAATTAGCCTTCAAGTAATATAATTGAATTTGATTATCTTATGCTAAAATACCGAAAGTCTGGTGTTAAGAACTAAATGATGATGGAATTTGTAGCCTTATGCCCATCCATTATAGCCAAGAAAACTCCCATCAGTTCGTTTTAGTCCTACAGTCCTTGCGGCAGAAATTCAGACCTTTGTAGCAAAATAAGTGGCAGGTATAAAATAAATATGGCAAAATCACCCGGGCCGGTCATGTCAGCTGCGTCAGCAGGAAGAATGGCGCGATAGGAATTTTCACTGTTGCCTTTACCACGTTTTACTGATTTTCACTTTCAGAGCTGTTAAACAGTTAGGTACCAATTAAAACCAGTTTAGGCAAGGGGCTTTATGGACTAGTTTCCAGTGCTCCTATAAGAATAAATAAGAAAAAAGAATGACGCGATAAAGTAGCGACGTTCTTGCCCTATTGTAGAGTCCGGGCTCGTGGCAAGGCGTCACTTGTGACTTGTTAGTTTCCGGCGCGCCAAGGCGGCGCAGTGAGATGTTCGAGCGTGAGGTGTTCCGAGCGATGTTTTGCCGGCATATCGTCTTCCCCAGAGTACGCCATCATTTTAGCGACTTTCGGTGTTTTTTGACAATTGTCATGAATATTAAGTATAATGAATTTCATTCTAGCTGGCCAGAGGCTCTTTAGTTAGGAAAAGGATTTTAAATTACCCACGAAGGAAGTTATTGGATCAACCGGTTGTACTGATGTGGTGAGTTTTTTAACTAACTTGAATGCGGCTTAAGTCGCCACAGCACTTAATTCGCCGCCTCACTTATGTCGCCGGTCTTCAATTGCAAAAATTTATGTTATAACCAAAACTGAACCACAAATTTTTAGCAAGATCGAAACAGTTTCGTAGTTATTATATTGTAGTCGAACACTACAAATCGTAGTTCTGACCCTTTCTATGCTGTTTTTCTTGAACGGCGAGACAAGAGCGATATGTGTTTGATGGAAACCTTGCGTTGTACCTAATTTATATAGGCCTATGCTGCAGTTATATGTTGCGGGGAATTGTGAAGCAAATCATAATTTTATTGATGTGGAGCACCGCTGCACAAGTTTAACGTGCCAAGATTAAGTGTCTCTTCAATTTTTTTAGAGATAATACTAAGTGACGATTTTCTTTGAACGTATTCTCGATATTACATATGAAAATATTACCTAATTAAACATTTGAGCCTTTCCAGACTCCAGTAAAATATTCTAATGATTGAGCAGTAAAAACGATCACGAAAACGCTAAAAGAAATTGTATACACGTTGTCCGGTTCAAATAGCGAGATTAATTAATCAATTACTATGGCGGTATCCTAAATCGTCCTGCCTCGTAGATACGTACGATGCAGCGAACCATCCCACACCCTGCGCTTGTAGTAAAACTACAATAAATGTAGGCTAGGCCGGCTGTTAGACTATGTTCCTGGTGCAGGTTAGGTATTTGGAGGAGTCTTAATGTAGTTGTCATTAGTGGGTAGGAACTGACTGTTCATCTATTCAATGGGTAGGCACTTGACAGATTGAACGGCTACCTCCAATCAAACTGCCGGCCATTTGCTTCTCAGATGGCAGTTCTGCACTTGTATATAGAAGACCCCCCCCCTGTTTCTTAAGCCTCGTATGTTCGATTCAATTTATAAGAAATAATTTAATTCGTTTAGTCATATTGCAGCTAACTTAATTACACGCGTATGCTGATAATTCGGGTTAAAAATAAAATATTATTTTTGTATCTGAATTTATTTTGGGTCATTTGATGACCGGTCAAGTTGTCTAGTAGATCCTTCCAATGTTTTACGTGATTATTAGCAGAATTACAAAATTTATTGGTGGTGTGAACTGAATTAAAAATTTATTTTTGTATAATGCTGTGCAATAATACTAATATTACATACGAGTAAAATACCGAGAAGCTGGATATTGTTTTGAGCTCGGATGTTATTTTAT